GAGCCGCGCGCCCGCGCCGCGCGCCGCCGGCCCCGCGGCCGCGTAGCCGAGCGCGGCGCCGAGCCGCAGCAGCTCCCCCCGGGCCAGGCCGTAAAGATGGCCCAGCAGGCAGTTGAGCAGCCGGTCCGGGGCTTCCCGCCGCGGATTCGAACCGTTCGAATCGCCCGGCGACGGCGCGGGCGCGGCGGGGCCCGTCCCGATCAAGGCGCCGGTGACTGGGCAAAGCGCACGGCCCTCCAGCAGGGTCGACTCTAAGGCGGGGATCTCCAACTCATCCGCATTCAATCCGAGTTCCCAGGAATCAGGGATCCACGCCGCCGCCGCTGCAGCAGCCGCAGCGGGCTGCGCTGCTGCCGCCGCCGCCACGGTGCCCTTGCCCGCCGCGCCGCCGGGCGCGTGCTGCTGCTGCTGGTGCTGCTGCTGCGCCGCGCCGTGGCGCCGCGCAGCGGGCGGCTGCGGGCCTCCGCCGTGGGCAGGCTGCAGCAGGTCCGCCATTTCCCAGTCGGACGGCAGCGCGTGGCGGCGCAGCGAGTAGGCGGTGACGGCTTGCACCAGAGAAGCAGACGCCGAGAACGCCCAGCACTAATTGGGGAAGGAGGTGGCGGCGTGGGTGTTGCGGGGGCGATCGGCGGCCGGGTAGCTGGAGCGCGGCGTGTTGGAACGAGTGCGGAGGGGTTGCTGCTGCTGTGCGCTGATCCCGCCGAAACCCTCGCCCGTGCCCCGGCAGGCGTGCTGCCTGACATTGGGCGGGCGCCAGGGTGCCGCCGTGCTGCGTGGGAATCGACTCTTCCCCCCTGGCCCTGCCTCGCCCCGCCTTTCAGGCCCCTCTCCCGCACAAGGAGACCCGACGCCCCCGCCCCACGCGGCCGGGCGCGCGCGCGCGTGTGCGTGTGTGGGGGTGCCCCACCTCCTTGAACCACGGCCTGATAACGTCAGCAGCCTCGCGCTCCGCCAGCAGCTGCAGCACTGTCTGCACGAACATCAGGCCGCGCTCGGCCACGTCCAAGGGACGGTTCAGGTGCAGCAGAGCGCGCGCCTGGGGGGGACGAACGAAGAAACGCAGCGTTTGCAGGTCAAGCGCAATAGAGGTTTGAGCACATGCATGCGGTGTCGGGCAGAACTGCCTCCAGCAGCAAGGGGAGGCGCTTCGAATCCGAGTCCGACCCAAACGCCTCTCATCAAAGACCAAGACGCCGCCGGCATGACAGGCGACACACACGCACATTTTTTTTCACGCGCACCTGGGCCGCAAAGAGGTACTGGCGGAAGGGGAACTCGGGAACCCCATTGCGTTTTAGCACAGCGCGCCGCATCGTGCGCCAGGAGGTGGTCAGCAGCACCGCCACGTCATCGCCCTCCCCCACGCCTGCCACGGGTGGGGTGGGGTGGGGTGGGGGTCAGGGGGTGGGAACATGGGGGCCAAGGGTGGGGGTGGGGGCGATGGTTGCAGGGTATGGGCGAGAGGTGGGGGTTCAGGGCGTTTGGATGTGTGGATGCTGATGCTTGCAGGTTCTGGCCCGCACTTTCAAGAGTGCGTTTGATTGCATCGAGCATAGGAGCAGTGTTGATGGGCCATGACGGAGAGCTGTGAAGAGGTGGGTAGGGCGGCACACTCCTGTGGTGCGCGGAGGTGCACCCAACAGCCTGCGGAGCTCACAACACACCCACCAAAGTCGAAAGCTGACTGACGCACCGCCGTGCTCCCGCCGCCGCCGCCGCCGCCCGGCTGCCCCTGCACCGACCCCGCCGCGCCGCCGCCCCCGCCGCCGCCGTCACGCCCAAGGGACGCGCCGCCCGCGGGCGGCGTCGGCGGCGCCGCCGCCGCCGCGCCGCCGGGGCCTTGGGCGGAGGAGCCGGATCCCGAGGCTGTCAACGAGGCCGAGGATTCGAGTGTGTCGAGGTAGCATGTCTCGAGCTCAACATACTCCTGAGAGGCGGGAAGGACGCATGATGTGATGTCATGTGACGTCATCGGCACACTCAACGACGCAGAGACAGGGACGGGTGGGCGCTGACGCCGCTGGACGCTGCGGACTCGCACTTTTCGAGGCCTTCAGACGCTCTTTCCCGGGGTTCTCGAGGAAACAAACCGCTCCGCTATCAAACGGCCGGCCGCGCACACACACAACCGCGCGCTTCAACAAAACAGCGCACAAAAACCAAGGAAGCGCACCAACCGCGCTCCATCGCCCAGTCGATCCACAGCCTCGTACTGCCCCACCTGGAATGCGTCCTCCCACAGCCCCGCGCCCTCCAGCATGAGGGCGAAGCTGTCTTTGACAAGGTACAGCGTGGTGAAGCTCCAGCTGGGCTCTCGGCGCTCGTTGAGCAGCTTGCGCACCTGGTGGTGGGGTGGCATGTTTGAGTGTGTGTGCGCGTGTGTGTGTGTGTGTGTGTGTGTGTGTGTGTGTGTGTGTGTGTGTGCGTGTGTGTGTGTGCGCGTGCGTGCGCACGCGTGCGCGCGCTCGTGTGTTCAAGAACAAAAGGTGTTCTCGCTCGTGTGTGGGGGATACGGGGGATGCAACCAGCAGACAGGCGAGCGGTTGCAGGCGCCGGCGAGCCCAGGCGCCGGCGCACCGCAATGATTGAGGAGGGGCGCGCGGGCTCTGATCCCTCGATTTTCGCGACGCCGCGATCTCAGATGTGGCGACCACCGCACGCCACGAAAGAAGGGCGGCCGGGCAGCCCCACAACGCCCGCCCCCCCACCCAGCCGCACGCGTCCGCGCCCTCCAGCCGCGCAATCCCCCAGGGACCCCACAGATAGCGGAGCGCGCAACCGCCTGCACGCACAGACACAAACACACACACACACACACACACACACACACACACACACACACACGTGCCCGCGCACACACACACACATACACAACCACATACACACACACAGGCGCGCGCACACACACCTATGCGCGCACACACATACACACACACACACCTCTGAGTCGTACCCCGCCTGCCGCGCCTCAAACCCGGCCTTCAACGCATCCCTGAGCGCAGCGTCCCAATCCTCGAGCCCGGCCACCCCCGCCGGCGGCGGCGGCGCGAGCCCGCCGGCACCAGCGCCGGCAGCGCCGCGGCGAGATGCGGCGGCGCCGGGGTCGAAGGCGCGGAGTGGGACGTCAAGCCGAACGACGCGCTCGCGTTTTTTGGAGGCAAAGTCGTCTTTCAAACGTTCGAACACCTTCCTGGGGTTGCAAGGTGTGAAATTGGTGGGCGTGACCCCGTGCCCATGTGAGCTCTTTCGCATGCACTGTGATTGGCGAGGACAACAGGGGTGTTGGGGGACACCCAACGGCGCTCGGTCCCGCTGCGACGCCGCGACGCGGCCAGCAGCATGCTGGTGGCCCGCCGAGGCCGCCCCTGGTGACCCCCCCGGCGGGCGCAGCGACCGGCGGCCGCTCGGCGGCGTGCCTCTGCGACGGACACGCACATCGCCCCCGCAGCCGTTCTGCCCTGCAGTCCCTAAGGGGCGACAAACAGGACTCAAAAAAACACTGTTGATGACGTCACCCTGACATCACCCCACTGCCGCCCACCTGGCGCCGCGGTCAGAGGCGTCAAGCTCAAAGGGTCGCACGTAAAGCACCAGCCACTCGCTGGACACGCCCGGGCTGCCCCAGTCCCGCTCGATCTCCAGCGTGGCGCGCTTGACCATGGCCCGGGTGGTGCTCTTGTACTCGGTGACGTCAGCGGTGGACACCTGGCGCGTGTGCGTGCGTGCAGATGTGCACGTGTGTCTACCGTATTTCACGTCTCTCGTGCAATGTTTTGTTGTGTGATCAGAACTGCAGCGAGCAGCACGCTCTGTGGGTGTCAAGCAGTCCTTGAACATTGGCCCCCAACTGGTCAGCGGTGCGGCGAGCCCCCGCCCCGAGGAGCTGCCCAGCGGCGCGCCGCCGCGCGGCCGCGCCGCGTCCCTGGCCCTGGCCGGCCGCCGCGACTGCCAGCAGCTGCGGCGAAGGAGCAGCTGCGGGGCAGCTGCCCTGCCTCGAGCGCTCCGGCGCAGGACCATGCGCTGTGTCGCAGAGGCAGCAGCGGCCATCCGATCCCCGGAACAGCAAGCCGATTGGCCGCGGCCGTGCATCCTCTTGTGCCTCCCATCGTGAGAGTTGATTCCAGATAGTTCCGAGTTGCTTTTTGCACAGGATCCGCATGAACCTCCAATGGAAGTCGTGGGGGCGCACCAAAATGACGTGTGTGTAGGGGTTGCGGAACCAGGTCACGGGGCTGTGGGAGAACGGCCGCAGCCGCTGCAGCCGCTTGTCGTTGGAGAGGACGTAGCTGGCGGGTCGGGGCGCGCGTGTGGGGACCGCGGGACGCATGGTGGGGTGAGGAGCGCCGGGGCACGCAGGTGAAGGGGTCGTGTGCGGCTGTGTGCGGCACGTCTTGCGTCCTGACCTGCTTCCATGTGCTGGCCCAATGCAGCGGGAGCCACACCTGCTGTAGCACTCGAGACATAGCATGACAGGTAGACACACCCGCGATGAGCCGCCGCCTGACAGTGCCAGGTTTTTCAACGTTGGGGCCGAGAGTGGCTGCAAGGCACCAAACTCACGTGAGCGGCAACTTCGGGACCTGCGTCGGCTTTCCGAACTTATTGGAGAGCATCAGCCCCTGCAGCGGTGTGCGCGCCTCCAGCAGCTGTGCGCACGGGTGCGGCAGGGATTGAAGGGCCATTTGGAATTGCCGGCGGCGGGTGTGACGAGCGGCGGGTGTTGTGCGTCAACAGCAACACGCTGCGTTTGTCAGGATCGCACTGAGAGCCTGTGACAGCGGCGTCACCCAGTTCAGCAGCATAAATGCTTACGTCCTTGATTGTCGTCCATAGCCCTGTCACCCCAAGCTCGTCCACCGCGATCACAAAGTTGCCTCCGAGTTCCTCCTCCATCCCGCCTCCCTCCCGCCAATGTTACAAAGCTGATACCACTACCTATATGTCATCGCCAATGGCTGGGAGCAAGGGCTCTGGAAACGATCTGATCCCCTGCCTAATGCACATGTCGAGCGGTCCAATTGCATGTGTGCGAAGGCACTTCTTTCTGCTCAAGTCGTGTGCCTCTCTGCCCCCACACGCAAGCAATTCGTTGGGTCACAACATTGGTCACCCAGCCACGATAACCGCCGGCTGGCGTGCCATATGTGCATGCACTGAGCAAATTGTGCCACAGCCAAGGAGCAGGCGATGCGTGCGTGCGTTACAATGAAAGTATGTACACCTCAACTACCTTGGAGTCGCAGTCGGCTGCCACCGCCTCACCAGGGAATCGCAGTAACAAGTGTGCGGCAAGCAGCAGAGTGCACAAAGCGATTGGGGTGTCCCGTAACCTTTCCGCCGGTACTCGCATGATTGTTACAGCTGGAGCCGCTCAGCTGGTCTGGCATAACCACGCCCAGTATACTCGTAACTTTGGCGCGACGCACAGTGTCCACTTCGGCCCAGAAGGGTTCACTGAAACCCACCCATCGTGCATATGCCAAGTGTTGGGTGCCGGTCAACATCGCCAAACCTAAAGTCAGGCAGTTAAGGCCAAGACCAGCCCTACTGGCACTAATAAAATGGAAAAAAGAGGAGCAGCACAACCACATGCGAACTTTGAAGGGTGCCAAGTGGGTCAAACACTTGTTCCGACGGGCAGGCCAGCGTGCACCACGATGGGTGTGTGATCCTGCTCTGCACCAGTAGTTGACGGTCACTCGGTTTCAGTAACTCATACAAATGCTTGCGCGGGTGAAAAGAGTGGCGGGCACGACGAACATCGCTTCCTCCCGCAGCACGCATCTTACGTTACATCAGCAGCAAGCGGTCGGCGAAGATCCCAGCGTATATGATGGCGCCATACCACTTGTTGGAGACAAACTTCGCCATGCAGTCCGGCCGATTGTTGAGATCAGCAGACACGATCTGCCAAGCCTGATGCGCCGCACCCGCCGCCACCGCGGCCTGGAACGCCGCCCCGCAACCAGCCGCGCCGCCGGCGGCCAGCAGGCATGCCGCCTGCGCAGCCGCGAAGGCCGCGAGCGCGGGCTTCGTCCTGTCGCCCAGCGTCAAGGCGGTCGACCCAATCCCCACTTTTGCGTCGTCGTCCTTGTCTTGGTGCGCATATATTGTGTCGTAAACCAGGGACCAGTTGACGCCCGCGAGGTAGAGCGGCAGCACCACCGGCCAGTCGCACGCGCCGGCGGCGGCCGAGTAGCCCATGAGGGCGCCCCAGTTGATGGTGAGGCCGAGGAACGCCTGGGGCCACCCTGTGATCCGCTTCATCTGTTTGAGGTTTAGGGTTCAGGGTTGAGGGTTGACGGTGAGGGTGCGGGCGGGAGGGCTCCGAAGCCAGGCCTTTTAAATGCGGTGCATGTTTGCAAAGGGGTCAAAGGCCAATTAGAGTGGTCAGGTCTTCCAGCAGCCAAGATGAACTCAAGCAACATGAGCTGCTGCCATAAAGCTGCTGCATCTCAAGGGGTCAAGGACTGTCCAGTCTCCCGACCACGCGGAAGCACTCAAGGCGTTGAATCGTAACCTGCCCCTTGTTCTGCTGTCGCCCCGCGCCCACCAGAGGGTACGCCGCCACCAGTCCCAGCGACGCGACGCCGAGCAGCTGCGTGTACGTGTTGAGCTGCAGCAGGATCACCAGCCCGAGCAGCAGCTGCGCCCCCAGGAACGCCACCGCCCGCGGCACCGTGACTGCGCCGCTGGCCAGCGGGCGCTGGCGCGTGCGTGCGACCTGGGGATGAGCGGCACCGGGGGGCCACAAGCAACCATGTCGCAGACGGGGGCGCCGGCGGCGCAGGCGGCAGCACATGCTGGGGTCGCGGAGCGGCTGAAAAATCCTGCCAAAACCAGTGCCCCAGGCAGTTACATCCCCCCCTCCCCCCGTGTGATGGCGAACACCGGTAGGAGTTGGCTGGCACACACATACAGGGGTCATCCCCACACCTGGCGGTCAATGTTTCTGTCCCACAGGTCGTTGACCGTGCAGCCAGCACCCCTCAGCAGCTGCAGGGCGGGCACGGGTGCATGCAGCATGTACGGAATAAACAGCTTATCGAGACTTTCAGCATGCATTTCGAGTATGGTGTTGATCAGGCCACGTAACATTTACCCGATTGGCATTTTCTGTCAAGTTTAAACCGTCCGGTGGAGCATGCAAGCCGTGCTGCTAGCAGAAAAGGGGACAGCTGCGCGCCGCACAAGCTGCGGATGCTTGCCCGCCGCGCAGGGGCAAGTCGCAGCCCCCAGAGCATGCACGAAGCAGCCAGGCTTTGATCAAGGCATGTGAGTGTCAGAGCTTCAGGGGTGCCGCGTTTGCGCTCACCACAGACCCTGCAATGAAGAGAGAGGACAGCCAGGGGTCTGGCAGCTGCCCCGGTGGCGCTGCGAGCGCAATGGACCTGCAACGGCCGCGGGGAAGAAAGGTAGAAAAGAGAGGGTTGGGTTGCAAAGAGTGCCCGCCTGCTGCTGGACCGCAACAGCAGGAACTGCCAGGCATGGAGGGTGTCCGCCTGACGAGCTGCCGGCGGCGGACGCACACATCCGGACGCCCTCGGTTGTTGCCCGGCGGGTGCGGGGGCGCCGGCGGCGCTTTGTGTGCCTCTTCCGCAGCCACAGCGTGTGCGCGTGCGCGTTGGTGCACACGTGCGTGCTGCCGTGTATGCTTATGCGTATGCATGTATTTAAGTACGTGTTTGTGTGTGGGGGTGTGTCATCCCTCGCATCTGGAAGCCTGGCAGCCAAGCGATCACGCCCCCGCTTACCAGAGGCCTGGCCAAGCAAGGAGGTAGGTTCCTATCGGCTTCTCCAGGCGCATGAGGTGTGCGTAGGGCAGCGCGGCTGCGGGGAGCACTTGCTCAATCCAGGCTGGACGCGACGGCTGCTGCCGTTGCTGCTGCGGCGGCTGCTCCTGCTGCTGCTGCTGCCACCGCTTCTGCTCTTGCTGCTGCTGCTGCTGCTGCTGCTGCTGCTCTGTGGCAGTGCTGCTGCCCACATCGGATACGCCGCGCGGGCCCGCCTCTGTTGCAAATCCCTGCGACGCCGTCAATGGGATGGCAGATGTTGCAGCGCCAGCCAGTGTCAGCACCAGCTGACGCTGAGCAGTTGCTTCTGTTTAGAGTGGCAACGGCCGCAACAGCCTGGATTTACCTTTGCATGAGCAGAAATTTCATGCCTGCCACAGCTCCATGGAGCCTGCGCTGCAGCTTGATACGGCGACGCTTGCTGCTGAAGCGCCCGCGCCGACTGCTTCAGTGCCTGCAAGCTCCGCCACCGTGTGAGCAGGCTCCCCGCAGCTAGACGCAGCACATGTTCAGATGTTTGTGCGGCCATTCCGGGCGTCTGTTGGGCGAGCTGGCCAGTAAATCGTTGCAAGCCAAGGACTTGCTGCGTCGCCCGTCCCTAATCGTGCTGTAAAACTTTGGTAAGGTAGCAGCGTTTGCGTTTCCTTCAACATCATGATCTAGCACCAGGCAGGCGGCAGGCGCCGGGTGGGTCACCAAGTGACCACTGGTCACGGCAGGACAGACACGAAACCAGCCAGTGGGACAACGCAGAGGGAGAACACACTTTCATCGAGGTGTGGAATTCCTGATTATTCTGTTCAATTCATCCACACAGTCATGCGCCTTGCCATCACTTGTGGCAAGCCCAGCCTGGCAGCTCAATCGCTGGACCTTGACAACACACATCAGTCCATCCCCCCAGTCCAGTTATCCTTGGAGCGCGGCCGACACATGACACAGCAAGAGTAGCCCTCGTGTAACAAGGTGACTTGAGGCAGGTTACAGAACAGGCACAGTGGCGCCAAGTGTTCGGTTGCCATCTAAGGTTGGTTCATATGTCACGCCACTCTCTCCGTCGAGCCGCTCGCCGCCATGTCGCCACAACTCCTGCGGCGGGTGGCTGGAACGGCCGCCCGAGCCCAGGCGCAGCGTTTCTGCACGTTTTCAGTGCATTGGGGCGCCCCGTGCATTGCATGGCGGCCGCGACGGTGGCGCGGCGTTGGCAGCAAGCAAAAAATTCAGTCAGCAAAGAACCACGACCCTGAGCCCTAGCCCTGGCCCCCTTTCCAAGCTGGTGAATAGAAAGGGGGCAGTGACGGGCTGAAAGGGGCAAGGCAGCCAGGCGGAGCCATTTGGAATCATAAGGCGCGCCAGTGGACTGGAGTGTCATGTCGGAAAGCTTTCAAGGGCCGCCCCCAGAAACCAAGTGGACTCAGCTGGAGGAGTGAGTGTCGTGGTGGTAGCTGCCGGCCGGAAGTTTGCACCGCCGGCCGGACAGCCGCGAAGAGATGCATTGTACTGCCAGAGGGGGCGCTTTGGCGCGCAAGGGAGGGCGGGCCCGGCGTGTTGCAGCCAGGGTTTGCGAGCGAGATGGCACGCGCTGGCAATTCGTTGCGGATTCGAGGTACTGTAAATATCCTAGCAGGGCACAGGGGTTCAAGCCGCAGCCATCAATGTCCCTGCGGTGTGGGAGCAGCAGCGAGGCAAGTTGTGCACGGCAGCGGTCAGCGTTTGATAGAGCAAAGAGGCTGCCCAGCCGGGCCAACGCCCGGAAGCTCGGCTCACATGCCTCCAGCATCCTCTGACGTTCCCATGCGTTGGACCCTCGCTGGCATGCATGTGTGCACACACGCACGCGTGCGCCCCAGTGTCAACCTGATCTGCGCCCATCCAGTGTTGCACTCCATCAATTCCCATCGAATCCCCCATTTTGAAGCTGTGTAAACGTAAGCAACCCCTCCCACCGGCACCCCACCCCCCTCCACGCCCGGCGCCTTTGCCCAGAGGGCTGTCCCAAGTAACCAACCTTTTGCATGTATGCTATGAGCTTCTGCTCGGTCGTCTGCTTCAGGGCAGACTCCTTGGGGTTGCTCCTGCCCATCTCCAAGCCCTGCAGGGGCGCGCCGTACGGCGACGGCGTGCCCGCGCCGATGTTGTAGCCGATCTGGTTGAGCACCTGCCTCGGCAGCGCGGCGGTCGGCACGGCGACAAGGTTGACGCCGCAGGGGACGCCCTTGATGATCTCTGTGCCCAGGGGCTTGTCGCCGCAGGGCCAGTTCACGGTGGTGTTCGCGTTGGGGTAAAGCGCCGCGCGCTCCGCGGGCAGGAACGCGACCGGCGTGTTGCCGACGACGGGGAAGCCGGCGTTGGTGAGGCCGAAGCCGTTGACGATGCCGGGCTGGCTGCTGAACGGGCCGATGCCAGAAACGTAGCTTGTGGCGTTGCCGCCGCTCCAGCTCACCATTGGGCGGCCGCCGCTCGCGCCCTGGGAGCCGCCGTTGGGCAGAACAGCTGGGATCGCGCTGATCGTGCCGTCCGGGTTGTTGACAATGCGCACGCCGCCGTTGCCGGTGGTGATGGTCGTGACGCCGCTCTCGGGCGCCGCCGCCGCGCCGCTGCCGCCGCCGTTGGCTGCAGTGCCGACCGCGTTGCTGATGGTGGTGCCCTGAGGGAGCACGTCGCCGGCTGCCAGCGTGTTGGGGTCGATCTGCCTGCCGTCGGGGCCGGTGATGATGGTGTTGGACCCGATCACAGCGGCCTGGCCGCTCGGCGCGGCCGCCGCGGCCGCGCCGCCGACCGCGCTGACGGCCGCGCCGCCGCCGTAGCCGGCCGCGGCGCCCGCGCCGACAATCGAGCCGTCTGGGTTGGTGACGATCGTGCCACTGCCATACGCAGTGGTGGACCCGGCGGTGGTTGTGCTGGAGCCGCCGAGGACGGTGGCTGGAGGGGTGCCGTAACTCGTAGTCACGGTGTAACCAGGGGCCACGCCGCCGCCGGCGATGATGGACCCGTCGGGGTTGGTCACGATCCCGCTGCCGCCGCTGCTGAGCACGCCGGCGGCGCTGCCGCCACCGCGGCTGCCGCTGAAAATGTTGTTGATGCCGTGAGTAATCCCGTTGAGGAAGTTGGTAGCGCCGTTTGCAAACGCGGTGAGGTCGTTGCCGCTGCTGCGCGCAAGAGCCGACACGTCCGGCACGGCCGCCGCGCCGGCGCCGGGGAGCGGGATGCCGCCAACGCCGGGGAGCGCTGGCAGCGGCGGCAGGCCCGCCACGCCGGGCAGGGCGGGTAGCGGCGGGATGCCGCCGATGTTGCCATTGTTGATGAGGCCCGGGGGCAAGCCCAGTGCGCCGCCCTTGCCTTTCCCGGAGTAGGCGACGGCGCCCTTGCCCTTGCCGCTGGTCTGCACTGCGACATACTTGATCTTCTTTACGGGGCGGGTCACCGTGACGGGCTCCTGTGTGCAGAAAGGGTGGCAAGGGGTAATGGTTTAATCCAAGGCCCCCATATTCTATGGTGTGCCGTGGAGGTCGGCCCTGCAGAATTGCCTGTCTTTGAAAGCGGTTTTCGCCCAGCCCTGCAGCACCGACTGTTAAAGCAAATTTCTGCAAAAATTGCCACTGCTCCCTGGCCGCATGCGTAAGCACCATGCGGCATGGGCGCTAGCAGCCTCCTGGCGTGTCCCCTTGTGCAGGCCTGTCTGATAGACGCTGACAACCGACCATAACTGACCCTCCAAGACCACGATCGCAGCCCGCACCTTGACAGTGACCTGCTTCTGCACCACCTGCTGCTGGGTGATGGTCTTGGGCTGCTGCACTATCGTGTCCTCCATCACAACCTCGGGCTTCTGGACCGTGACCGCCTCGTACGTCGTAATCGGCGTCTTGACGGTCCGAGGAACCTGCACGTAATCGGTCTCCATCCTAAATGAGGGCTTCATCACCACCTGTGTTTTGAGGCGCCGCAGGATCAGGCGTATGGGTTATGGGTCAAACGCATTGTGGGGCTGGGGTTTATGAGCAGGGCTGAAGCATGCGGTCTGGCTCTGTGAGTGCCGCACGCACATGGGCAAGGTTGCGCCCGCATGGGACGTATGCAACACTCCCAAAATTCATCAATGGCAGGGGCCAACCTGCTGATTGTTGGTGAGCTCCGCGTCAAATGTAGGGCTGCAGTGCGGCAAGTGGCGGGCGTAGCAGCGTAGGGGCGAGTTTCAGAGGGAATACTTCTGCCGTAGAGCGCATGGCGATGCTTGTTCGAGCGCTTGCAGCCCACGGAGCGCCAACCTTGGCGCTTGCAGCCATATTTCGCCTCCTTGGCTGAAGCTCATCTGCACACATGCCTGCTGGCCAACCCCGCCCCTGAGCACATTGTGCGCCTGGCATGTCACCAGGCATCCCCTGAACCTCCATTGCTACTGACGTGGCAGGCGGGTCCGCACAAACTCACAAGAATCCCTTCCCCTTGCCGCCACCAAAGTTCGTCGTGATGACAAGGTTGGGCTTGTTGATGACTTGGGGCTGCAATTGTTGGACACGCCAAAAGAACGGCGTGAGCTTGGAGACGTCGGCAATGCTCTCATCTCACTCGCTGCAAAAACACAGCTGCTGGAGCATACCTTGCAAGTGTTGGGTCTGGCAGCCTCGCCTGATTCCACAAAAAGACCACATCAAGAAACGCAACCTTGGACCCACCTCCATTGAGAAGGTTGGCTTCTTGACCATCTTGTTGTCGTACTCCGTGTGCGACTCGTAGGTCGTGTGCGGCTGCTGGATCACCTCGGTGCGCATCACAACCTTGGGCTTCTACAGGGCGGCACGGAGCAGAACGAGCGCCGGCCGCGTGAGCCTCCTGTGCAAAGCCAGCTGCTGGCCTGGCGAATCATGGGGCTTGTTGACCCACGCTGCATGTCACCCTGCGATCTGCATAATCTTGCACGAGCAGACCGGCATTGCAACCAGTCTAGTCGTGCGTCATCGTGCAAAGACAGGGTGAAATCAATTGATCTATCCTCTTGAAGTCAGCACACCTTAACCACCACGTTCTCCATGGTAGTGACAGGTGTGTTGACAACCTCATTCGTTGTCACAATTTTGTCTTGGTACTCGGTCACCTGATACCCATCATTTTGGTGCGAGGTGGTGTTGTCATTCAGATGCGGGTGAGAACATGCATGCTTTGCAACACACCCAGCACATCGCATTCAGAGCAGTGATGCCAAACGTGATTATCATTGGCGAAAGAAAGGGACCAGCGGCCAGATCCACCACAAGCGGCAAAATGCACAGTCGAATGGCAGTCGCTTATTGCTTCTGCCCAGCAGCTGGTGCCCTGCTAGTACCCTGCCACCAGGAGTCCCCAGGCTTCCCCGCTGCAGTGTGGCAATATAATCAGTCAGTGCTGCAGACAGAACCCACCTGCTCATACTCCACCGTCTCCTGGGGCACCATCGTGATTTGTGGCATTTTTGGCAGCTCGGGCAGTTTTGGCAGCTCCGGCAGTTTCGGGAGGTCCGGCAGCGCCGGCAGCGGCGGGAGGTCGGGCAGTTTCGGATGCTCCGGGAGCTTGGGCAGCTCAGGCAGCTTCGGAAACTCAAACTTGGGGAACTCGGGAAGCTTTGGCAGGTCGGGGAGCTTTGGGGGATCTGTTTGGCGGAGCGGATGCAGGGGGGCAGGCGGAAGGGGGAAGGGGGGGGGTGGGAGGGGCTGGCTTGCCAGGTGTGATCGGCGAGTGGACAGGCTGTGAATGGGCACAAGGCACTCATGCTGCTTGGTGCCCACGCGTGGCATAAAACAGGGGGGCCATCCGAGCATGCTGCTGCAATGCTTGGCACGCATGTGAAGCCCTGCAGGGCCCGGGCACCGGCTGGTTGGCGCACATCGCACACGCGTCAAAGGCAGGGAGTCTGAAAAGGGGGCGCGGGCAGACAGCGGGTAGCCTCACCAAATTTGGGGATCTTGATTTTTGGGATCTCGGGCAGCTTGGGGAGCTCAGGGAGCTTCGGGGGATCTGCCGGCAGGCATGAGTGGAAGGGGGGCAGCAGCAGGGTGAGGGGCAAGAGACTTTTGGAATGCAACGGAGGAGCCAGGTTCGATGGACGAGCAGGCAAGCCACAGTTGGTCGCCAACCACCGAGTGCTGCCTGCTGTGCAACATGCACTGTACAAATTGAGGGGTCCGTTGCTGTCAACCTATTGCACAGGCGAGGCAGCTCAAGGCGCGTTATCTGGCTGCTTAGGGTTGGGAGCAGACAATGGTCAAAGCAGTCGATATGAAGCGAGGAATTGGGAGCCTTGCGGCGATTTGGGAAGCCATAGACGAGCTAGATTTTTGAGGTAGCCTCACCAAACTTGGGGATTTGGATTTTGGGGAGCTCTGGGAGCTTGGGCAACGCCTTGCTGAATTTCGGCGGCTCAGGAGCCGTGAACTCCGGGAGCTGCAGCTTGGGCGGCGTGACCTTAGCGCCAACGACGCGCAGCTGGCGGCGGGGTATTCCCACGACATTGTGGGTCTGGATGGCACCCAGGTCCAGGTCGCCGAGGTCGGGGATGAAACCCTCCGAGTGCGCGGCCGCGAGACCGAGGGCCCCCGCCAACACTATCACCGCTACACTGAGCCGCAACATTGTTGCGACGATTTAAGCTGCCCTCAAGGGCTGGGCCCGGTGCAAGGGCTGCCACGCAAGGTGCCCGCGGACGGCGAGCGGCTTTCAATTGTTACGCGCCAAGAGGCCACGAACTCTGTGCTTGCGAAGCCCTGGTAGTAGTGATTGTTGAACATATCAGAAGCAATCAAAACGGCGGGATGAACGTTTCATGGGGGCTACGGGGGCTGTGTTGCTGCTGCGGGGTGGCACCCGGCGGCACGCAGCGGGTGAGACTGAGGCATCTGAGCCGTGAGGCGTCAGCCGGTGCAGCATGACAACACCAAATCCAAAAAAAAGACTGAAAGCCAATTCAGTTACAGACTTTCCAACCAAAAATGAAAAAACAGAATGTGCAGCGGCTCCAATTGGCCATGAAGGATGGATGGACCCTGGATGCTGGTGGATGGCGCGCCATTGCGGCGGCTATGTTTTGGGCAGTGAGGAGACGCTGTGAAGTGATGGGCAGTATGATGCAGATGCTGCGTTTCAGGGTCATCGCGTGCAGGGGCGGGGCCGCCTCTCAGCATATGGCCAGGGCGCATCTGTCATGCAGCTGTCAGCGCTGCCACTGTCTGCCGCAGCTGCTGAGTCAGCCACCCCCATCCCCAGCGCGAGCAGGGCCTCTGCTGCCGTCTCCACCGCCGCGTGCTCCCGCTGCACCACCACCCGCTGCGTTTTCACCGTCGCCTGCTTAACCACCGTCACTCCGGCTGGCTCGGTGGCGTCCCGCTCCGCCGCCTCAACCGCCCGCCGGCCGGCAGCCGCCTCATGCACCGCCGCCCCAACTCGCGCGCCCTGTTCGAGTAGCGCCGCGGGGCCCTCTGACCCCATCACCCAAGCCGCTACGGCTGCCGCCTCCTCCTGCCCTAGGTCCCGGGACCCGGCCGACTCCTCCTCAACGTCTGACGCCTCGTCCTCCGCCTCGCCTCGGTGGTTGATCTTGTGCTTGTACTTGCGCCTGTGCCATGCCTTGATGATCCTTTCGGTAGGATGGACAGGTGGGGGAGACACAGCCGGATGTGAGGGACTGAGGGAGCACATCTGGTGTGTGTGGGAAAAGGTCGACTCCAAGCCGCGACCACACACTGTAATGTTTTGATGGGCTGTGGGGCACAAGCACGACAAGGGGACCCTGCGCAAGCCCGCGCCTGTGCGCGCCCATGCATGCATGCAAAAGCGTCTGCCCGTCCACAACCGCTCATGCACATGCGTGCCCATGCATGCGTATATGAGCCCTTGCCCGCACCTGACAACATCTTTAGGCACGCCTTCGGACTCGTACAGCCGCGGGTCGGACAGCAAAGCCCGCACCCACACGCGCACCGCCGCTATCTCGCTGCGGGGGCAATACGATAGCGCAAAAAGGCGTGAGTCACTGCGGGTCACTTTCTTAGGGATGTTCCAGACCGACATCCGTGGCGTCGCACGCGGTTTCAAATTAAGTGTGAGCTACTGGCCTTGGCATGCGGTGCTGACAGCCTTATGTTTGGAGAGAAGCGCACCTCTTGACGTTCTCCTTCAAAAAATTGGCGCACTGCGGGAGCCAGGCGGCCAGCGCGCGCAGCGCCTTGTAGGCGGACTGGACCTGGCGCACCGGCCAGTACTCCAGCTTGTACACGTGGCGCAGCAGCTTCTTGAAGCTGGTGGTTCCTATGTGCAGCCGGTTGGCCGCGTCGCCCATTTTCAAGCACATGGCCAGGCTCTGCGCGTTCAGACACCGGCAAATGCATGTGTCAAAAACTGGACCCCTGGGCTTCAGGTCGAGGCGAGTCGTGGTTTTGGAAGATGGGCTGCTGGGCATTGCTTAAATCACTGAATCATCAGTGTGTGGTGCCCGCAAGATTTCAGCCGCTGGGGACTCGTCACCTGCTTGATGTTTCGCCACACCTTGGCATCATACACCATTTCTATCACCGGGCCCGCCATCTGCACATGTGTGCAGGCAGAAGGGCAGGGTCAGCGGTGATTTCAAGCATGCTGCAGATTGTGATATTGCACCCTGACCCTCCGCACCTGGCGCTTGTACGCTGTGCTCCTGCTCCTGCTCACGCACCCAGGCTGCGCTACGCTACGCTACGCTGCAGGCGCACCCAATCGCACCGCAAGCAACAGGTCATGTCAGAGCACCGTTCGCATAAGGCAAGGGTTAATATCCTATGTTATATAGTAGATCAAGACACTCTGGGGAGCTCCTGCTTGGTTTCGCAGGTCGCCTGCACTGCGAAAAAACCGCAACACGCAATCGAGCGTTTTGAAATTCAGAGTGGTTTTGAAAGAATCGCGTTGTTGTCTTGAAGCTACATGTGACACGCATCGCTGGGCGAGAGGAGCGGTCGCCGAGCGGCTGAAGCTGCGCCGTGACAAACTTCGAGCCCTTTCGTATTCGGGTTTCTTGGGGGACTGAGAGCTCGATGGTGGGTTCATGAATGATAAATCAGAATTTTTTGACGCAGTCCATCCCGGCAAGCCTGCTGCCAGGTTTGTGAGACTGCCACCTGCCAGTGTTGCTTGTGCTGCATGCAGCGACCGCTGCACAACAGCATGTGCGTGGGCGCATGCTCCGCCTTCACCACGGCCAAGCAGACATCCATCAGAATGCTGCAACAGCTTTGACATGGAAATAAACGCAGCCGGCAGCAGAAGCGTCGCACGGCTGGAGCGCCCTGGCCAGCAGTGTACAAAATGCCTACTTCCCCAGTCAGCCTGAACGGCCCCTTGAAGGAGCCATTAAGACTAGCGTAAATGGGGCCGCCACAGCCCTGGCGCATGCGTGACCCATGCGTGCCGCATTCTGCCTCATCGTACGTCCCACTCTTGCTGTCTTGGCAATCATGCCTTATTACCCGGTGTAGCATGCTGGCTTGCGTGCTGGCAGCTGGTCCAAGTGGCGCAGCCTGCACCCCCGCTCGCTGCCTCTTAGTCAATCTCCAGTCGCACCCAAAGGCAACGCACTTTATCGCCGCGCGCAGCAACCCGTCCACCCTGCAACTCGTCGAAACGGACATGCTGTGCCACCCCGAGTGATGCGGCTGCAGCGGCGGCGGCGCCACGCGTGATCGGGCCGTCATGAGCAGCGACACCAGGCCCCTGCCCACGTGCGTGCAGCTCCGGCCCATGCAGACCCCCGCTCTTGAGCGCGCCATTATGCGATCGCGCCAGCCTTGGGAACGCAGCTGGGGAGGACAACGGGACAGCCCCACGCGGCCGCGGCCTGCAGCGACAGCCCAATCGCCGCTGCGCACCCGCCGGCCGCCGCGGCCGCGCTGCGCCGCCGAACGCCAGCAAACACAAGCTCGCGCCGAGACGCCGAGGCGCCGAGGCGGCGCTGGGCGTGGGCGGCGTGCTCTGCAGCGGCAGCGTTGCCGAGAGGGCGCGTTTGCGACAGAGGTGGTGGCACCGCCAGGGCCGGCGGAGGGGCACATTACTGGATCCGACCCACACAGGGGCAGCCTGCAGCCCTGCCCCTGTGTCGGTCTTGATGCAGCAAGTAAAGCTGCCAAATGTTACAAATGCTTTTCATGTCCCGAATGGCCGCACACGCCTGCGTGCAGTGCGGCTGGGGCGGATGCGCGGCTCTCGGGCCGCCTGCCAGGCTCAATTCCGGGCCCAAAGGCGCCGTCAATGCGCTCCAGTCAGTGTGTGCCATTCTGGGACCCGCGCCTGCCTTGCACGCAATCGAGGTTGCGGCATCTGACGGCGGCTGCAACATTGGCCCTAGCCTGACAAGATTTGCGTGGACGTTGTCCGCGCCTTCACATCCCAAGCAGCCGGCGAGCCGGTGGCAAGTTCGTATGCTCTGCGGCTCACGTGGGCTGCACCGGGGCTGCCTGAAGCTTTTGGGAACCTTGTGCAGAGGCTCCAGGTTTTACGCCATGCGTGGATGCCACCACAGCAGCAGCGGCCTTGCGGCTGTGCGCGGTCGAGGCCATTGGGTGACCCATGGATTTTGCAGCCAGATTGCTTGGACAGGGAGGGCATCAGAATGGGAATTTGCAAAAGTTCGGGGACGTTGCGCCGAGCAGACTTGTACATTTCTTTGGCGATGCTGCTCTATCACACCCCAACCTGGCTTCAAGCGACGACGCCCTCGACCGCCCCTTTGTGAATCTCAGCTGTGATCACACATTGAAACCTGAGCCCGTCCTTACGTTGCGGATTGCATGCTGCCTGCAAAACAACCTTGTAGTGCAGGCAGCACGCGTGTTCGTGTTGGTCCAGCAGTGCACTAGACGGGTGCCCAGCGGCGCAGGTGCAGCAGCGCGGGGCGTCCCCTCTTCAGAAATCGATTCCAGCACACATGCGTCCTGTAGTGTTTCCCTTGCCCTGCAAACGCGGCCACCATTGAATCAGCGGTCCCGTCAGGGGATTATGCACCGGTGGCGCAAAGCAGCGTCTGTCTTGTCGTGTTTGGAAATGAACACACAGTGTGGCGTCTGCAATCCAATGGGAACTGCAGTGACCGCTGCCGCCCGGCGCAGCTGCTCCAAGCTCATGCTTTGTGTGCACGTGCGGGTGGGCCACTGCTTTTCCAGCCTGCCCAGGGGGCAGATGGCGGCTGGTGGGTCTGCTATGGGGACGCGGAGCACACATACATGTACAAAAAGAATGGCGGGGAGGCCTATAGGAAGGTGTAGAAAAAAACTGATGACATACAATACCCAAGTCCCTCCGCCACAAACTGAGTGTGCCTGCGGCGGAGAGCGATAGCAGGCGTGCAAGCAAGCAGCACCAAAGGGTTTGCTGCATCCTTGCCTGCAGACCACGTGGACAAAGGCTGATCGGAATACATTCAAACTTTCAAAAAGTGCGGTGTCAATCATCGCGATTTCAGGACTTGGTTAGCCGCCCCATTTCATGCGCTCTCTTGTTCAGAGGAAGTTGCGCAGCCGGTTGGTCAAGTCGGGTAATTTCCAGCGCAGGTAAAAGGGCCAGCAGGCCCTGGTCAAAACAGTCAAAGGTTGCATCCGATCGACCCGCCTGAGTGGGGCAGGCGCGCAGCCGGGCACCTTGGGCACAAACGTCATGCTCTGTATGGCTTGCATTATGGTAGGTGTTTGTCAGACTGATTTCAACAGCGTGTGTGGTCTGCATGTGGTCAACTCTGCGAGTGGTCAGTTGTCCCCGATCTCTGGCACCTCTCGTTGCTCCGGCCTCCAGGGGACCTTGCCGTCCCTAGTACAAGCCTGTTGAAGTATAGTTTGTGTTTGCATGTGTGCATGAGTCTGTGTATGTCTGATTGTGTAACAGGGTGAAAGAGAGAGAAGGGGTGTGTGTGTGCTTGTATGCATGCGTGTGATAGGGAGAGAGAGAGAGAGAGGGAGAGAGAGAGAGCGAGAGTGTGTGTGTGTGTGTGTGTGTGTGCGCGCCTGCGCACATGCATGCAGGTATCCAAACTCACAGCCGCCTGAGCAAGGTGCAGGAAGATATGAGTGTTTTGCAAGTGTCAGCCGAGCTTGATCAAAACGTGGGTGCAATGCAGGCCGCCCGGCCGCCCAAAGCTCCCACCTGGAACAGCATGAAATAGTTGGTGTCCCCACGCGCGCGGCCGCGGAAGAAAGGAGGTGTGTAGAACGTCTTCCCGATCAGGGCGCCTGCGGACAGGGGCGCAATCGTAGACGGAGTGGGGATGCAGCCAACAAGAGGGCGCCGAGGGTTGTTGGCAGTTGCAAGAGCTGAAGCTGATCTGGAATGTGCTGCTGTGTGCTGCGCAAGGTGACAATCGATGTCACACAAACCCTTGAACCTCCTCGAATCCACCTTGGAAGTTCGGCTCGCTGCGGCCACATGGTGTAACTCTGCTGAATCCTTCACCCTGCGTGCAGAACTCTCTGCTCAGGCACCACTGGTAGAGGCTCCCTTGTACACAAATCATCGAGCCCATCCCCACACAGCGGGTGCACACACACCTCCAAGGAGTCCCAAAACACCACGAGCAACGCAAACAAAGCCGAGCTTGCCCCGCTCACCGCCGCCGAGGTCCCGGAACTCGTCCACCACGCCGTCGGCCCACGCTTGGAACAGCGTGTGGAGCGTGCGCCAGCCGCCCGCGGTGAAGCTGGTGATGTTGGGCCTGTCGTCGTCAAAGTGCCACGCGGGCCGGCCGTCGTAGAAGCTGGTGGGGTTGAAGCGGCCGGACCCAGTGAAGATCATGTCGCCGGCCCCTGCAAATCGAGGAGGTCGCGGTCGCGGCGACAAATTACGAGGTTTCCGCTGGCGTTGGGATGGGAGTGGGGACAGTTATGGGGAAACGAGGATCATCCCTGCAAGCTCGTGCTAGCTGCGTCTTGGCTTGCGAGGGTGTGAGGCAGCAGCGGCCGGTGCGGGGGGGGGGCCAGCGGGTTGCCAAGGACGCGTTTGGCGTGATGGGCATGCCCTGCGGCCCTGCCCTGCGTGCGGTGCCTCGGGTTTGCATCCGCGTTTAAGCTGCTCACCGTCGTATGCGGATATGCGCTCCTCCTGGGTGTGCCCCTTTGGAATGAGGTATTCATGCTGCAGCAGGGGAAAAAAGGCAAATACAAAGTTTCAAGAGGAGGCAAGGATGCAGAATTGGCACACTCGTTGAGCGATTGGCGTGGCAGGTCGAGGGAGTGTGCGGCTGTGGTATGGGGGGGAGGTGACAAGCAAGTTCACCAGGCCACCGGGAAAAGGGCTGTGGCTTCCAAGCAGGGGCGCGTTGAAGCGCGGTGGTGCTTCCAGGCCTCCTTCCTGTGTACTGCCCGAAACGCAGTCCACACTTGACCCCACTGGGTCCATGATGCATACGGGTTGCGCATGCAGGCCCCACAAACCCCTGGAAGAGGTTCACATTGAGGGTCGTCCCAAAACGTGTAGGGATCCCCTCTTTGCGCTCCTCGCCAAAGCACTTGCTGCGACGGGCGG